ATAGCAGCATTATTTGTTATAGCCAAACCTAGAAGCAACTTAGATGCCCCTCAACTGAAGAATGGATAAAGATGTGGTACATTTACACAATGGAATACTTCTCAGCAGGGGGAAATAAAAAACAAAAAAATAAAAACAATGGGATCTTGAAATTTGCAGGCAAATGAATAGAACTCGAAGAAAACATCCTGAGTGAGGAAACCCAGTTACAAAAAGAGGAATGTGGTTTTTACTCATTTATATTTGGATTTTAGACATAGAGCAAAGGATCACCAGGCTACAATTAACACCACCAGAGAAGCTAGAATACAAGGATGACTCTAAGAGGACAAGATCTCCTGAGTATATTGGGAGGGGGGCAGTGAGTGGAGAGGAAGTTAGGAGAAAGAGAAGGGGAGAATAGAAGGGGTAAGAAGAACATGAAGGACCAGAAGGATTTAGTCGGAGGATGAATATATGAGAGCAAGAAAAGAGATACCATACTAGAGGGAGCCATCATAGGTTTGAAGAGAAAAGTGACTCTAGAGAAATGTCCAGAGACCTACAAGGATGACCAAACTGACAATCTGAGCAACAGTGGAAAGGATACCTTCTCTGATAATGAGATTGATAACTACCTTATCTGTCATCCTAGAGCCCTCATCTAGTAGTTGATGGAAGCAGACACCGAGAGCTAAACCCTGACCCGCACTCCTGGAATCTAGTTGCAGAAAGGGAGGAGTGATGAGCAAAAGGATCAAGACCAGGCTGGAGAAACCCACAGAGACAGCTGACCTGAGCAAAAGGGAGCTCACAGACCTTAGACAGATAGCTGGGAAACCAGCATTGGACCAACCCAGATCCCATCAGGCCTCAGTTAGAAGGCCCGAGCCTTCTATGTATATGCATAGTGCATATGCATATGCACTATTTTTCTTTGTTTTTTCCATTTAAGGGTTGTATATTATATTCCTTTTTTACCTCAAGGAAACAAATTTTTGGTCTCTTCTACCTCTTCCTCTTCCTTCTGTTTTTGCATTGTTTTTCTATATAACTTGGTTGTCCTGGGACTCACTACGGAGGCCCAGTTGATCCATTTGCGTCTATCTCCTGAGTTCTGGAATAACAAGCCTGGCCATCACGCCTGGAATTTTTAATTTTCTTAATTAATACTGTTGATCTTTTTTTCCTCTTTTATCAATTTTAGGGTTATCTGTAGTTTTGATTTTATTGTTTTGTTAGAGGGTCTCATGTATATAAAATGTATATAAAAAGAAATATGGGAACATATACATTATTATTGTATTTAGGTGCATGTTTTACCTTGTGTATATTTGTGTACGTGTGTACCAGGTGCCTGAGGAGTCAAGAAAAATGTGTCAGACCACTGGAACTACAGTTACAGATGGTTGTGAACTGCCTGCCATGTGGGTGTTGGGTATTGAGCCCAGGTCCTCTGGAAGATCAGTCAGTGTTCTTAACCACTGAAGCATCTCTCTAGCTCCACACATCCCTCTTCTAACAATGCATTTGGCATCCCAGAACACTCAGTTCCATGTACTATGCATGCACAGTCCTCTCAGAACAATGCAACTAACAACCTGTAAGCTACCTAGGACACCCACCTGCACCAAACTGCTAATGTAATAAGTTTCTTCTACACTTAAGGACTTGGACAATTTCTACCAAACTTAATCAGTACTCTGGAGGGGCATATGCAATGTAGGAAAGCTGATCAGCCTAAATTCTCTCTCTCCTCTCTCTCCCTCTCCCTCCCTCCCTCTCTCTCTCTCTCTCTCTCTCTCTCTCTCTCTCTCTCTCTCTCTGCGTGTGTGTGTGTGTGTGTGTGTGTGTGTAATAAGCTAAAACTGTTTTTAAGAGAACTTTTAGGAAGAATTCCCTATTCACCATATTATGCCTGTTCATAATTGGGGTTGCATATGATTAAAATCAGATGCATTATGGGAAGGGACATGCCCTGTGAGCAAGGGCTTACATAGTCCAAGCCTATTAGTCTTCATAGAAAAGACCCCAAATTACATTCTTTGTAACCAAACTCCTCCCTCACTTGAACTCCATAAAGGAAATCCCAAACAATAACTGAAGGAAGCCCCAAGCAATAACAGGGTCCCTTGATTACCTTCACTCATGTAGCTGCTGTCAGTCTTGAAAGTGTAGCTACAAAGGGTTCAATGGAATAGATTATTGTTTACTTTGTTCCCCTCTGAACTTGAATAGGAAGCCAAGGACAGAAAAACACCTTGCCAGACCACCACCAGTAACACACAGTACAGCTTAACCTGGCCACAAACTTGCTTTGTAGCTGAGGCTGGTTTTTGCATTTTTGAGCTCTTGCTTCAACCTTCCAAATGGTAGAATCACCATCTGGTGGTAGATGCTTCATTTACTTTCAGTCATTTCCTACAATGTGGATTTGAACCTGAATTCTTCAGCTGCCTGCTAAATTAAAATGCCCAATGGTCTTTCACTGTGATTTAGCAGTTTCTTTCTTCAGTAAACATTCTCTTGGCTGGCAATGGTGATTCATGCATTTAATGCCAGCACTCAGAATGCAGAAGCAGGCAGATCTCTGAGTGTGAGGCCAGCCTGGTCTGCAGAGTGACTTCCAGGAAAGCCGGGGTACACAGAGAGGCCCAGTCTTGGAAAACAAAAGCAAATCAAAAGCCCAACAAAAAGGCAAACAAAACAACAACAACAAAACATTCTCTTGGTGGCTATAAGTTACAAATAAGATTTCTGAAAGGATGGCTACCGTGGAGGGATAGAGTTTTGGGGTTCTCTATTATGTCATATTTAGTGATATCACTTTCATTAAATCTAGAAAGTATCACTTTAAATGTTTCTTCTCCATTCTCTTCTATGGAATTCTGATTTTTGTATTCTGTGTCTCATCTTTCATATTTCTTCTTTTTATCTTTCAGGATTAGTTCTAGCTAATTCTCCCATACCTTTCAATTCATTAATTCTCTCTTGAGTTGTGCCTGATTTGCTCACTCATTCTGTTTATTTTATATGTGTGAACGTTTTGCATGCATGTATATATGTGTATCTTATGTGTGTTTAGTGTGAGTGGAGGCCAGAAGAGGGCCAGATCCTCTGAAAATCAAGTCACAGAAGACCTAAAGCCACTTGATATGGGGCTGGGAACTGAACTCAGTTCTGTAAGAGCAACAAGTATTCTTAAATATGGAACAATCTCTAGAGACATTCTAACTTCATCACATTTTTGTTTTGTTTTGTAGAGAAGCTCTTGCTTTGTGTCAGGCTGGCCTCAAACTCTCTCTGTAGCACAGGCTGGCCTTGAACTCCTGAGCCTCATACCTCAGCCTCCTGAGTGCTGGGATGTTGATGTATGCAACCTCACTGGCCCTGTTCTGCTTTTTAACTCATCTGTTCACATTTTTACTTCAAGAATTATGTTTCTCTATTATAGACATTAAACTATGCACTTTAAAAATTGTTTATTCTGTCTCTATAGTCTTTCTATTGTTTGTTTGTTTGTTTTAAGATCAGAGTTTCTCTGTGTAGCCCTTCTGTGTTGGAAGTGGCTCTGTAGTCCAGGCTGTCCTCTAACTTAGAAATCTGCACTCTACTGCCCACGTGCTGGGATTAATGATGTACATACACCACCACTGTTGGGTGTTATAATCTTATTTTTGTCTGCAGTTATTTAAACTGCATTGATTATTTTTTTTTACATCTCAGCTCATCTATACTCTCTGAGGCCCAGGATTCTAATCTTTTAACTTGTTTCATTTATTTATTTTTTGATACAGAATTTTTGCTTTGAGTTCAGGATGGCCGTGCATTCAGTCTTCCTGATTTGGGTTTTGAGTGTCAGGATTTTACACATATGTTATTGAAACATTGACCATGTTTGCCAAATTTTGATTCATAGTTTGTAGAATTTTTACAATCAAGTGTATCACAGATCTCTTCATGCTTTGGCTGTGGTTCTGCATTTATTTCTGCTATGAGTTAAGAGGATGCAATTAGAACATCATCAAAAGGAACTCCTGCCCCTTCCCTCCCGACTCCCACAGGTCAAGTATAGATCAGTGTTTTCTGCGCTTCTTTGTGTTGGCAAAGTGTGTATGTCTTCCTTCTCCATCTTTCCCTATGAATGCAGTGTTCTAGGATGCTGTCTTGACTTCCTAAGCCTCTACTTGGCTTTGGCTTAGGGCCTTGTGCTGGCCAGTTTTATGTCAAATTGACAGGAACTAAAATCCTCAGAGAGGAGGAAGCCTCAATTAATAAAATGTCTACATAAGATCCAGCTGTGGGGCATTTCTTGATTAGTGATGATATGAGAGGGTCCAGCCAATTAGGGGTGTTGCCATACCTGGGCTTATGGTCCTGGGTTCTATAAGAGAACATGAGGAACAAGACAGAAGCAGCAGTCCTCCATGGCCTCTGCATCAGCTCCTGCTTCCAGGTTCCTGCTCTACTTACCTTCCTATTCTGACTGCTATTGATGATGAATTGTGATGGCAAGAAGTTTACATGTAGCCAGTCTCGCTACAGATTGTTGCAGTCCCTGAGGTTCAGATAAGGGACCAAAGGAATGAATGTTCCAGGGACTTACCCAGCTCAGCCTCACTCCATTGTATGACTGTTTCTGATGGACCATGCTCATGAAACATTCTTTATGGTCATTAGAGACCTGACATTGTTTTAGACATTGCTTCACTTTATCTGACTGGTTTATTCAGAGTTTGATTTTCTTTTTTGAATCCTGGAATGATATTCCAATGAGGTGTATGCCAGCAAAGCTGTTAGCATAAATGGCTGGTTGTTACAACTTTGGGTATTTCTGAGGATAGGAAAGCCTTGGCCCCTCTTTCTTTGACCCAACACAGTTAGGTTTGGGTGGAGCATTTTCTGCCTGGCTTCCCTTCTCCAACCCAGCTTCCCAGCCTGAGCACCAGTGGAGGTGAGGTTGTCTTTTTCCAGGTGCCTGAATGTGACTGGCACCTCCTTTTCCTACAGTCTTTACTTACAGCGATAGGCCAGTAGACAAAGGGCATGTATCTATTGATGGCGAAGGAGTAAAGGAAGATGAAGAAAGCGAAGAAGGACAGTTCCATAGTGAGAAGCAGAATCAGAATCGGGTGTGTGGCCACCGATTCGAAGAGTTGTAGTCCAGCGATGATGAAGGCCTGGGTGGAAACATACATATATCTGAGCTGCTGCAGAGGTTCTCCCTGTCTTCTCAGGCCCTCCCCTCCACAGACACCCCTAGACTTCCCATTCAGCTTACCAAAGTCAGTACCTTGACCTCGGCGTGTCCCGACGTCCAGAATTCTCTATTGCTGTCTTTGAATTCCCACTTGTAGCGTCGAAACCCTTTTCTTGTGCCCACATCATCCTTGGGCTGTAATGATTTGTACTTCTGGGCTTCTTCCCGGCCAGGCGGAGGTGCTGCCATAGTTAGCAGTAGTTCTCAATTTCTCACCGCCCAGCCTCGCCTGCAGTCCCTGAACAGGCCCAGCTCAAGAGAGAGCCTGGTGTCTTCAGACCTGTTCAAGGGCAGCGCTCAACTGACCACTGAGACAGAAGAATTCCAACGCTTATGCTTGTTCAGCACGAGCACATCTCATCTCGTGGACCAGTAGGATCTCGCCTCCACCCTGGCAGAGGCCAACCATTCCCACCCTCTATGCAGCCCCATGAGCCCCACTGGTCTTAGAGAGGCTTTCCTAGAAAAAGGAGTGGCAGGTTTGTGGTTGCAGCTCCCTGGGGTCCTGCCCCTCCCATCCTCCTGGGGCTGCCTTGTGGTGGAGTGGAAGTGTAACGCGACTTTTACACAAGGCCACACGAGGAAGCAGAAGTGTTGCCAGCTTAGCAGCCCTGTCTTTATGGTCACACACAGATGGGCTTTGGGGCTCCGTGATGACCTGGTGGCAGTGATTATACGTGGACACGGGTTTCTGCCAAATGGCTGAGAAGGGCTAGGTGACTTCAGCATAGCTCCTGCCTCGGTGTTGAGGTGGATGTCTTAGTTTACACTCTCAGGACCTTTTTTCTTGTCTTTGCTCATCTTACTGATGACCGCCAACACATCGATGATACACAGGACTGCTGCCACGAGGCACAGGATCTGTCAGGCACAACACAGGTAGGAAGGAAAACCAGATCAGTTTACCACTAGCTCAGCATCCATCTCTCATTCCTATTCCTATCTGGTCAGGTCAAGAGTTGCAACCATTCCATTTCAGGCTGCTGTAGGCCAGGTTTGTCTTTCTTAAGTGGAAGTTACGGTAACAGTGACGTATGTTGCCCACAGTGGCCTGATCATAGGACTATCTACTATACCAGTGGTTCTAAACACGAGTTACCTTGCACCTATGGTCCTTTCAAGAGGGTTACCTAAGACCAACAGAAAACCAGATGTTTACATTTTGATTCCTAATGATAGCAAAATTAGAGTTGTGTAGTAGCAAAGAAAATATTAAGGTTGGGGTCACTGCATTAAGTAGGTTGAAAACCTCTGCTTTAGGTTAATGACCTTTGCAGTTCTGAGTGCTTGGAGAGTTTAGCCTGGGTGGTGAATGTTCTGGAGCTCCATGAGGAGGCGACAGGTTTATGATTCAGAAAACCCTTCTGCAGTGGCTACAAGATGAAGGGAGAGTGAACTTGGATAAGGCAGGAAGACATAAAGGTAGGCTGATGCCAATACAGGCAAGAAGAAATGAAGGCTGGGGTTGTGTGGGGACCATGTCAGTACAATGCTCAGTTGATGAGTTGCCAGACTGGGGCCAGAGATGAGAGCAACTGGTATTCCATCCATGTATGTTTCTCTTTGTGGGCTACTTGATGACAGTTTCTTAGGAGGCCTTGTTCTAGCCCCTGTGTGAGTTTCTCAGAGGAAAGGACTCTCTTCCCACTGATTAATTCCAGCTTGGCACAATGCAGTGGCATTGACAAATATTTACCAATTATGGAATTAACTTAAAGAATTTAAACTCTTTTTAAAAGTTTCTACCTCTCTCTCTCTCTCTCTCTCTCTCTCTCTCTCTCTGTGTGTGTGTGTGTGTGTGTGTGTGTGTGTGTGTGTGTGTGTGTATGTGTGTAGGCCTATGTATGCACCAGTGTCTGTGTGGAGGCTGGAGATAACATGAAGGAATCTGATTTCTTTTTCCATTGTGTGGATTCCAGGGCTTGAACTCAGGCCATCATGCCTAGTGGCAAATACCACTGAGACATCACTTTTGTTTTAAACTATTTTTTTTGTTTTTGATTAATTTCTATCCACATTATTAAATCAAGTCTCAGTTCCTTACTCTCCTATTCTTCAATCATTTGATTGGCTATTTCTTTCATTCTTCTATTTGATATGGATTTAGGCTCAGTTTATCTAAGCACGTGACCCAGAGCAAAATATTTAACCTCAGTGTAAGGACATACCCAGGTGTCTGTAGACCTGAAAATGTAAAGATTGAGTCAGGGCCCAGGGAAGTGGTACTGTTGGCACAGTGTTGTCCTGGCATGCACACGGCCTGGGTTTCATCTCCAGCACTGCATAAACCAAGCATAGTGATGCATGCCTGCAATACAGCACAGGAGTGGGGAATGTGTAGAGCAGGATAATCAGTTCCAGTTTATCCTCAACCATAGAGCAAATTAGAGACTGGCCTGAGTTAGAGACCTTATTTATAAAACAATAAGATTAAGGAGGTTCTTAGTACACACTAGGTACTTCAACATAGCCAGGGTCCCTTCCTTCTTAGACAAGCTATGTTACGTATTTCTGACTGCCCCTCTTTCATATCTCTGTGTAATGTAGATCTCTATCCCGGAGAAAACAAAGTCATAGTATGGTAATTTGAATAAGATGGGCCTCTATAAAACAAGGTATGTGTTTTTCTGCTTGGTTCCCAGCTGTTTAAAAAGGTTTAGGATGTGTGGCCTTGTTGCAAAGGTCTGTCATTGGGGGTGGGCTTGAGGTTTCAAAAGTCTAAGCCAGGCCTAAGCTCACTCTCTCCTTGCTGCCTGTGGATCAGATGTGAGCTCTCAGCTACTGCTCCTGCACCATCCTGTCTACCCACTGCCATGCTCCTAGCCATGACAGTCATGGAAGAATCCTCTGGAATTGTGTGCCAGCCCCCAATGAACTGCTTTCTTTTATAGGTTTCCTAGGTCATAGAGTCTCTTCCAAGCAATATAATGGTAACTAAGACACCAATTTATAAGGATTTATTTGTTGCTGTGTTTTACATTTAATGTATATGATTTTCAAAAGTTGTTCTATAGACTAAAACAACTTATTTGGAGAATATGTTTTGTGAGTTTCATGAGTTTCAGGTTTGGACAACTTGACATTTGAAGACATTACTACAAGAAGGAGAAGGGGGTCTCAAGAGATGGTTCAGTGGTTAAGATAATTTGCTGCCCTTGTAGAAGACCCAGGTTTGGCCCTAGGACCCCTGTAGAGGCTCACAGCTGTCTTTAACTCCGGTTTCAGGAAATCCAATGTCCTTTTATGACCTCCACAATTATTTGAATGGGTGTACACTTACCTACACACACACACACACACACACACACACACACACACACACACACACACTTAAAAACACCTAAGTCTTCTCTGTTCTGTTCATGACATCATGATAGCATTCCTTTTTTCCTTTTTCAGGATCCTGATATACTCCTCTTTTTTTTTTTGGCCTGGGGACAGTTCAAGGCAGGGTTTGTGTCTGTGTAGGGTTGGCTGTCATAGAACTTACTCTGTAGACCAGGCTGGCTTTGAATTCATATAGATCTGCCTGCCTTTGCCTACTGTGTGCTGGAATAAATGGCGTGTAACACCACTGCCAGGCTATATTATTTTTAATTAAAAATGCTTATATTACTTTGTGTGTGTGTGTGTGTGTGTGTGTGTGTGTGTGTGTGTGTGTGTGTGTGTGTGCACATGTATGCTCTGTTACACTTGTGGAGGTTGAACTACACTTTGTGTGTCAGTTTCTCCTCTTGTATGGGACTTGGGGATTTGATGTAGGTTAGTAGACTTGATGATAGGTGCCTTTTACCCAGTGAGTCATCTCACTGGCCCCAGACTACTAATCTTAAATAGAAGCATGGAGGTCTCTACTTACCCCTCCAACATAGCACATATGATTTTTTTCTTTTTCTGGAATTGTCATCAGGGCAACTCCTCCAAGGAACACAGTTGAAACGGAACTATTCATAAGATCCTGTAATGCAGAGTTGAAATTGGTTAACTATAAATGAGAATGTAATTTCAAAATATTTAAACTGGTCATTTACCCATCTAAGGGTGGATACCTTTTGAATATTTTCTCTTTGATTGACAGAGACCTTCAAACCTCTGGAATTTTTCAGAGATTTGAATTTATATGATTTTAAAGTCTTGGATAGGACTTTGTAGAAATATGTTTCATTTCATTAGAACATCATTAGGGATGTTAACATTTCCATTGATATATATATGTATATATATATATCACATATACATATATATGTACACACACACACACACACACATATATATACATATATACATATGAGAAAGTGAGAGAGAGGCTGTATATAGATGTGTATAAGTGAGTGCAGGTACTCAGAGTCCAGAAGGTGTTGGATCCATTGGAGCCAGATTTAGATGTGATTGTAAGCTGTCCTATGTGGGTGCCTGGAACTGAAATTGGGTCCTCTGTGGGAGCAGTACCCACTCTGAACCACTTAGCTATCTCTCCATCCCCTCAATTGACTTTTCTTAAAGGATACAGCAGTTCTAGATTCTGTGGTCTAGCGTGGCCAAATTGGCTTCCATATATGACTTTCCCCCCCAAGTTTTATATTTTAATGTGATTCTTCATTTTATCCCATAACTTATTTTTTAATATATGTAAATATAAAGGTTTGTGTGATATGTTTTATATTATTAGTAGCTCATTCTTTTAATATATCTCCTAAATCCACAGGTCAAAACGACTGCTCTGGAAGTTGGGTTATATTATTTTGTGAGGTCATTTGTGCTGAGAACACACAAATTCATCTGACGAGCACAGCTGTTCACTCCAGAAAATTGAGTTCGAGGCAAGGCCAGAATTAAATCAGCTTGATGTCTTCTTACATTCTTTGTCCTGGGTTTTGTTTGTAGCCCCTTCAACTACAGGTCAGCCTGCCTGTTTTTGTACTGGAATGGTGAGCATGGATGGTAGGGGTTTCTCTTAGAGTAGGGCACTACACTTTGATGGTGGAGCAGTGATGGAGTCAGTTGTACCAGTATGTGGACAGGGCCAAAGCATAGGGAAAAAAAAAACATGATTTGACCCAGGTATATAATTGGAACATTCTAAGTTGCGTGCGTAGTATGTGTGTGTGTGTGTGTGTGTGTGTGTGTGTGTGTGTGTGTGTGTCCCTGTTCCACATACATGTCCTAGAGGACAACCTTGGGTTTCATTCCTCAGGAGCTGCCTTGTGTTTTTTTATCTTTAATTACATTTTATTTATTGTGTGTCTGTGTGTATGGTAGGAAAGGGATGTACACAACACACATGTATATTGAGGTCAGAGAACAACTTTTGGGAGTTGATTA